TCCAATCTCTAACATTCTGTGTGATTCTGCGAAATAAATCGGGGTATAGCATGTGCTGGCTGTTTGGATACTACCCAGCAAGCACTTGTTTTCCTTCTTGAGGAAAAATGCCGTAGTTTCAGTTTTCTTACTTGATTAAACGAGCTACCCCAGCAGAAATTCTGCATGCTAGAAGCCCTTCAGATGTTAGATTCATGCAGCCTACTTCTCCTCTAAGTACAACGTTTGCTATAAAGGATTTTATAGCAGTAATTTTTTATAATTATTATTCTTATTTCTCTTTACTCATTTAATATACTAATTTTAAAATCCACAATTATTCTTAACTAGAAATGGTTTTAAAGTACATTTCAGTAAAAAAACCCAAACAAACGATATTTTTTGAAAAATGGGAAACACTGAAAAATCTGTTCTTGCTTATTTTTCGTGTAGACAGGGAGGAAGTTTGCGAAATGTGGGATGAAACTTTTTGTGCGGGAAGTGCCGGGCAGTCTTAAGCAAAGCAGTTGCAAAATCATGTGACTGGTAAAAATCATAATCCATTGTGCAGAAAAAGTAGATTCTTTGGTAGGTAGTCCTGAGACATGCTGGTTGGTGTATCAGAGGAAGGGAAGATTTAACTAGCTTTTATTCTTGATCTTTGATGATAAATTTCTTGAGGACAGTGAAATGCACAAGCTGGTGTGTAGAAGGTAAAGCTGGGTTTTAAAGCTGGGCCAAGGGTTTTAGGCAGTTCTTTACGAAATTCAAATGCAGATAACGTTCAGTGGGATAACTTCAAGGGGAACATAAATTGCCTCAGTCTCCTGGCAGGCTACTGGAAGATGAAAATTCTTTTGGGGGTAAATATAGACATAACTATGAAATATGAATTTTGTAACATACATTTTAATGGTCTAGTGCTACTGATTTGACAAGAAGCCATTACCATAATAGCTGCCAAAAAAGGGCTGTGCGAAGGTTGTCACTGCTCAAAACATGTTGATGAAGACCACTCCTACCAGATCAGTGCCTCAGGAATTTATATGTTATAATTGTGAAGCAATGACTGGAAATCAACAGGAGGTTCAGGCTGCCTTGTAGCTGGTACCTACTCAGCCAGGACCTTAGCAGATGACAGAGTAGTGAATGACCCGAGCAGACTTGTCTGACCAAATCAGAACTGTCAGTTTGCTAGAATTGCCAACCCCAAATTAGGACCACAAGTAAATGAATCCTATAATAAAAATGTTGTTGTCGGTATTTAAAAGATCAGCATAAGCATTAAGCGGTTACCGATGGATATCCCTAACCTCGATCTTGGTACGTATCCAGTCTGACCACCACGTTCCTTCAGTGCCAGAATGCAAAGCAGTTCAGATCGTCCTGGAGGAAGCTGCGTATTAAACATGTAAGGAACTGCACAGGCAGCAGAGCGTAGGGCCACAAGGTGTCCAGATACCTCTGTGCAGCCTCTTTAGTTGCTTGGAGCCTGGGCGTTAATTTGGGTTAATTGGGGGCTGTTTGGCTGAGAGATGTAATTGCCCTGATGAGATATGTGCATGCAGATATTTCTGACTTGCCAAGTATGTGTCACACTAATGTTGCATCTGGCCTTCCTTGACAGCTTTTGGGAGGACTTTCTAAACCGCTGAGTCAAGCAGCTTGGTGAGAAAGACCCTCACAGAACACAAGGGGCAGGTTGTATGCCCGTTGGCAAGTTAGACCTCATCACTGGAAAAAAAATGGTGTAAAAGGACAGTGGGAGTAAAGACTTTTTGTCTTTGACCATTGAAGTTAAAGTAGACTAGATGATCAGCTTGTACAAACATCTGGTGGAGCTGAAAAAAGGAAGGGGGACCGATTATTGTGAATGAAAGAGTTGATAATCTCTTGATAGTAGCCTTGTGTGGAAAGATGGCATGTTGGCTAACCAGCACTTGTTAGAGGAGTGTATGGGAAAGGCTCCATTCACCAAAGTGGTGAGCGTATGAGGCCCCATTAGGAACAAATATGGTGCTTAATTATTCTGCTGGAGGGGGAGGTTTGGCTCATCAAGGTGTAGGATTATAGCACAAGGGTCCTAGAACATAATTCATGGAGGGTGTAGAAAGCAACAGATATGTTTTGTTTGTTGGTCTGTTTATGTTCTTGCTTGGGTTGGGTTTTTCTCATAGATGAAATAAAAATCCAGCCCTTCAAGCTGACTGTCAGACACGGCTGTGTCTATTTAGAGGTCTGGCAGGGTTTCAAATTAAAGTGAGAAGTGAGATGTGTTAAAGAGCTGTGAGGTGTCCACTGGATTGTCACTGAGCAGTCTCTCCCTCATTCAAGCTTTAGACAGTGGTTCTTGTCAAACGGATGGAAAGCAGCTGCTGCAGTAACAGCCCATATATAGAAAAATATACTTCAGTGGGGAAGCAAAGGAGAGACTGCAGATTCTGCTCTTTTTATGAATATGTTGTCTTGAACTCACAAGTCTGGAGAAATTCCACTGAGTGCAGAAAAGTTAGAGAGTGTACATGTTAAGACAAAGTCTGGACCCTCTAGAATTTTGTTATTTCTGGAGAAATTCTCAGATATACATTGAATGGGGTCTTTATAGCCTACTGTGATCAGTATGCTTTGGCCTTACGTTGGTGCGCAAGATCAGTTTGGGTGAAATCTCTTTGAGGAAAAGCAGTGAGCCAAGACATTTACTTTTCATCCTGGCAATTTAAGGTAGTACCCTATTTGAGCCCGGCTCAATTAGATCAACCTGAGAGACCTTTCGGCATCATCAGTTACGAAACAGTATTTCTCCTGTTTGAAACAATTGGCTTATTAAAATTGGCTAGTGCTCTTTTTGATATAGCCAGATATGTAAGCATTTGTTCACATCCCACTGCCTTTAAAGAGATGTGTGAAGAATGTTCTGTAATAGGCCTGACTGGATAACCTCTGCTGTTCGAAAATGTAAGCTTAGTACTGGTTTGAATTTTGCAAAATAAGCTAGACCCTAATGCTCATATGGTAGAGTAACATTCAGACGTCATTTATTTCCAAACCTGAGTTGTACAGTTCTGCCACTTCCCTTACTGGTTTTCTTCTATATAATCAACCATTTAACTATCCCAAGGAAAAAAACCCAAGAATTAGTAAGAATGTAATGTCCGAGATTTTCTTCATTTGCTGTATTTGTTTTGGTCATTTCAGCATTTAAATAGTCCCAAGTCTACAATAGTTATAAGTATTGAAGCTGTGGGTTTCATAGCATTTTCACAATAGTGTGTCCTTTTGTGTTTCAATCCAACTATAGGATATTACCAGCTTGCTGCATACCATCTATGAGGTAGTTGATGCATCAGTAAACCATTCTCCTAGTTCCAGCAAAACTCTGCGAGTGAAACTTACTGTGGCACCAGATGGCAGCCAGAAGAAAAAGAGTATCTTGTTAAATCATACTGGTAAGGATGTGCAAGCAGGCATGGGAAAAAATATGAAAAACTTTTAAGAGTCTCTTAAAAATCCACCTTCATATTTTGATAATATAAATATGTACTTAAAGGCAAATAATTATGTGGGTATTTTAAAACCCATGAACCTGTTTTAAGATCTTGGGTGCAAAATTGCCTACTCTCCTTTTAGTGTCTCTTAAGCAAATTAGGGTTCTCTCTCCTGACTCTTTCCTCTTGGCAACAGCAACAACCTATATATCATGCAATAGTCTTTGTGTACTGCCAGGCAGATTTAAGGCCTTTTTGACTTGTACCACTTTAACTCAGCTGATCTTGCAGTGCTCAGCTGGTGTGGAAACAAGTGTAGTAGTATAAAATGTTTTCTGCAAGTGCATAGCTATCACTGCTGCTGGATAAGAGTAAGTAATTAAGTGTAAGTAACCTTTATGAATCTATACATAAAAATCGCACAATTTTGTGTACTGGCAGAGCCTACCATTATAAAATGGCATATACTCTGATGGCTTATTCACTTTACATTCACTCTAATAATAGTTGTATCAGCATGATTACTTCAGTAGATAAAGCAGTACTAAATTAAAATACTTAAAAGTATTTAAATTAGCGCTTCAGTAGAAAAGGTAGGCACTTTATCCAAAAGGAAAGCCTTGTTACCTCAGTTTTAATACATACATCCCCCCAGTCAAGTGCAGACATAAACACATCTGTGCTGCTGGGGAGCTCTGAGATGCATTAGTGCAGCATTGCGCTCCTGAGGGACAAGTACATCAGTGTGAACGTGGCTCCATCTAACCTGCCACGTGGCTGGCAGCCTAACCCTGACTAACGTCCTACAGTCAAGGTTAAGTCTGCCTAAAATCTGCTGTGCGGACAAAAGCACTTTTGAGAGGGTTACACCAAATGATACATTACATCTTGATCTACCGACAAGAAAAAATGTATTTGCAGTGTGGCATGTTAGCTATGCTGATCAGCGAGGACAGTAATGTGAGAATAATGGACTTTCTCTTGTTGGCAGATCTGCAGAGTGCCAGGCATAGAGCGGAAAGCAAAGCTAATGAAGAAGTAAGAAGCTCTGAGAGGAAGCAGCGGGCTTCTCTCAGGTAAGGGAAAAGAACCCTGTCTCCTGACAGGGTTCCTCTGAGGAAACCTCAACCACTGATTTCTTGCTTGCTTGCTTTATCTTTAAAAATTATGTTAAAGCAGGGGAATTACAGAGTTTTTCACTGTGGAACTGTCAGCAGATTCTCTGGGTGGATGCTTTGTATATTAAAACAAGCAAATCTGTAGTGCCCGTTACTCAAATTTTCTTCTTTTGTTGGCTCTTTGGAGGACATGCAGTGTCTTTTCATCTGCAAATACTGTGCCTACTAGTGGAGTTTACAGCACAGTCTTTTGGCAAAGTGTCCTAAAACCTTCTCATCGAGGCCAGCTCCTGCCTTTCTCTGTCCTCCTTCCAGCCCATCTTTTTTTGCTTGTCAGCTCAGTTAGCTCCAGGTTTTATTAACTTGATCTTGTTTGCCAGGTCATAGCCACACCTGCTTCTCCTTGCCACCTCTCCTCCTAAAGGAAGCAGCTTTGAGCTGGCACTGGGTACAGTACCCAGGAGAAGGAGGGAAGAAGAGAGCTCGCAGCAGAGCAGCAGACAATTAGCTTTACTGCAAGTGGTCTACACAGGCTGTGTCCCACAGAGTAAGTGACGAGCAAGAGCCTCCAGCACACTGCCTCCTCCGTGCTGCGTTCTGCTGAGGTGGTTCTGGCTTATGGCAACTGTGGGGTGGCTCAACTCCACTTACGAAGTGTGTTTGTACATTTGGTAGGAGAAGTAAATTCACCTCTTTCTTACCTTGCAGTGGCTTAGCAGAGTGGCTATCTCTGCTGACTCCCGCCTGCCAGAAACCATGCTTCCCCACTGCCACATCAGCTTTGGGTCAACTTCTCCTTTACAGAACTCGGTATTAGGTAGTACCCATGTAGGAATTAGCCCACTTGCTTAGAACCGATATATCCAATGTAATCTTGCAGGAAAATTGGGATGATTTCTCTTTTTTTTTTTTCCGTAAGTTTCAGAATACATTTCACCACTTGAAAAAATACCTGTCTGTTGTCTTTCAGTGGAACCCAGCCCGTGTGGCTCAGAGTGCATCCATTTCCAGTAGAGCACAGGCACAGTGGTTTCTTTTACAAACAGCTGCAGGTACACTTGCAGCCACCTACAGATTAGATAAAAAAGGGAATTTAGTTCTTCCCTAACAGAATGTACAATATTATTTTGGATGCTAGTCCAGCACAGGCCATTTTCCTCTGTAAATGTGTAATCGTGTGTATCTGTCCTGTTATCGTGAGTTCTGCCTAACAGGTAGATATTACCTGCACCGAACTTCAGAGTGTGCGATAATAATTTGCAATGTATTTTTCAAATATTAAATTTTTTTACAGCTAACAGAAATGTTAATCTCTCAGTCACATGTAGCTGTGCTATTCCTTTTCTGAATTTGGTATTTTAATGGATAGAAAAATCAAAAGCAGGTAATTTTGATGCATTTAAATGTAGATCGGTTGCTCTGAACAGGTCATCTTGGTGGACAGGTTTGATCTGGTTTAGGAGTTTAACTTTCATGTTAAGGCAGAAGGAAGTGTTTGCTGAAATGCTACAGTAATGACATTGAATCATTAGTTGCATTTGTTTCTTCAGCTGCAAATTAAAAAAAAATCCACTTTTGACTTTCCCAGGATTTAGGGATATTTATCTGAATACATAATAGATTTATGAGGAGAGGGAACATTCAGTCTTATTAAAATGACAACACAACTGTGCCTCCCTTTTTTGGATAGAGGAAAAAGGCTAGTGAGTTATCCCAGTGAGTAAATCCCAGGACAATCAAATTTCAGATTAAAAGAAAACTAAAATTACTTCTAATCTTCTGTTAGCAACTCTGTACAAAATCTTCTGTGAACTAAAGAATACTCTGTGGTTTTGCTTGGTGGCCTAGATGTGGTGTTCAGATTCTGCCTGCCCATTAGCAAAAATTTGTGCTGTATTAATTTAATGGACCATTTTTACTTGATAATCTGTTGCAAAAATCCCCTTTCAGTTTGAAGTCCCCCTCCCATCCACCTTAAAGTCCTGGTTTTGCAAACGTAGTGGTTTTATGCACAGCAGCCATTTCCATTTAAATCCACAGTCACAGAAGCATCAAATGCTGAGGTAGAATGTTGGCTCTGCTGCATTTGTCCTTCTCATCCCTTTGGTTAGAGGCTTCCTAGATAGGACAAGTCTGTATATTGAGCTGAGCGGATCAGCATCAGCAGATCAGCATCAGATAGTTTTTGCTGCATCTCATTAAATGTGGACAGGACAAAGAATGTCCTTTTCACAGTGTCTATGTTGCAGAGATGTTTGTGCACTCTGGCCAAATCGCTAACCCTCAGGAAAGCTCCCTGAGGCCCCTCTGTGTCTCACCAAATTAATGCAGAGGCTTCCCCTTTACAAGCAGCAATGAGGACTCGTGAGAAGTGCACACATTTCACAAATTCAGTCACTTAGGAATTCTAGACAAGATGTGATTAATATTCAAGATAAAATGGATAGAAATGTTTTTATCCTGAAGGTGGGAGACAGATGGGTTAGATTTTTCATCTGCTGGAAGCTACAGGCAGGAGTTTTCACCTGTAGGGCTAATACGAGTATCAAGATCAAGTAGCTAGATTCATAGCTAGCTTGCCTGGCGTGCGCGGTACAAAATGGATGGTGGATGAGCCCTGGCAGCAACTTTGTGCATTGGGTATCTTCATGCCATTCTAGCTTAAATTTCATTTAGTGCGACAGGGAAAACATGATGCATACCAGCCTCTGAAACATCTTCCTTTTACCCACAGATACACATTCTCACTCTCTCTTTCGTTCCTGCTTAAGTGATATCTTCCTGACTGGTTTAAACTCTGTGTTATCAGTGAGCGTAGCTTTCAGGAAATGTCCTTGCATTTTACTGCCCTGTGGTCTGTCACTGTACCTACTGTATTGCTGTGTGCTGGCCACAGGATGATGCTCCAGTGTGAGAATTTTAGAAAGGGCTTTCACACACCCCACAAACACTTAAGGAGATGCCTCTTTTTATTAAAAACCAAACCAAAACAGAAAACAGTAACAGCACTGTGTATTTTTACACACTGCACGGTTGATTCATGCCTGTGTCTTCCCCTGTGTATGCAGGAGAGAGAGCACTGTGGGACTGGGTGCCAGACGCTTCGGTTCTCAGAAGTGAAGTTCTCTTTGACAGTGGGGCACGTCTCTCATCAGTACTTAATTGCTTCACTCTGTATATTTGCATGAATATTGTTGAACCTCCTCTTGCATGTAAGCAAGCTGTTAGAATGCAGAGCTCTGGCAGTCCTGGCGTAGTTTTTCTTCCCCGTCTTGATGAGAGATGGAATTTATTACATAACAAGAAAACCAGGTTCCCTGGTAACTTAGTTTTCAACAGACAGTGCTGTATACAGGATTGCTTAATTGTGTTGGATCAAGCCCAGTGCTGTGTTTTCTGGGCTAACTGTGCGTTGTCTTCAGAACATGTGCACAAGTCCCAGTGGTTTCTGTAGGCAATTCATGCCTGGCAACTTCAGTTAGCCAGGTCCTAGCCCCAGAGATCTTTCATGTTGACCTGCTGAAGTGTAACAACCTGTGAAGGTGTGTCTGAGGCAGGAAAGGTACCAAGCTGGCCATGTATCCAAAAACAAAGAATATCTGGACATTCCCTCTTTTTTGACAGTACCCCATGTCACTTCTGGAGTTCAAAGCTGACTCAGAGTCTTTAAAGCTTACCTGGTTTCCAGGCAGACTCTCCTTGATTCAGAAGACTCTACCTCTTTCAAAGTAGAGAAAAATGATCTTCCAGGTAGGTCAAGTCTTGTGACTTCTATCAAAGAAACTGTAGACCTGTGTCTGAGGGAGAGACACAGGCGACTCAGTTCTGTAACGTCCCTGAACAAGTGCTACTCTAGACCAGGAAAGCAGTTTGTGCCAAAGCTCAACGGGATCAGCAGCCTCTGGAAACCTGGAAATGTGTTAATAGACTAAAAGCAGAGTACTGGCACCACACAGTACAGAGCCCATATTTAGCAGCCAGGGTAGGATGCCAGGCCAGATTCTGGTCTTAGGCTGACATCAGTGCAGTCACACCGAGAAAGAGCAAAGCCTGTCGTCTTGTGGACTTGGAGACTGAACTATCTGAATGACAGGCAGTGACTTCATCAAGATTTTACTGCTCATCCTGTTTGTTATATTGAAAATATTGTTCATATCTGCAGACATCCATTTAAATTGCTGAATTAAATTGTTTGGCATTATGGACTAAAATACTGTAAACCTCTGCCTGATTTTTTTCTGCCTCATAAATGAATGGTATTTCAGATATTCATTCTCAGGAAATAGTTCTGCTATAAATAAAATTGCAAAGCTGAGCAAGAAAAGGAGTCACGATTCTGAAGCCAGCGGCTGATCTGACCTTATTAATCGTATTTTGGAAAGCAGCGGTTATCTCTGGGTGTCCTACCAAACACCTTCTCTTCTCAGGCTCTCTCTAGTTACTACACCTGTGCTGTTGCCTGTCTTTCTGAAGCAGATACAGATGAATGTTTATCTGACATGAGCCTTACTCCAGTGCTTCCTGACCGTGGTGGGAACAGTCATGAATCAAACAGCAGATTTTCTTTGGCATGTCCAAATCGGAGAATCAGTTGAATGGTTTGGCACCAAGAGAGAATGTAATAAACCCTAGGAGCATTTTTATTTGTTTTTGCAGGCATGATGCAATTTGAAAGCCTCCTTTGCTTTGCAACATCGGGGTCGATTTATACGGGGGGAAAGAACAGTCAGTTCAGGCCTATCAGCTTAGCAAATCCGGTCATCCAGAATTTCAAGCGTTTGTTGTTTCTTTGTGAGCAACCCCTGTCACTTCAAAGGGGCCATTAGTTGTTGGTTTGCAGATGGTGATAACAACTTTAAAGAAATTCTTTCCTGCTGACAGATACCACCAGAGCGAGAACAATCCAGAGCAAAGTGGGTGCTATCGTCATTGTGTTGATGAGAACATTGAAAGGAGAAACCACTATTTGGATCTTGCAGGAATAGAAAACTACACATCAAAGTTTGGGCCAGGTAATTTGGTGATTTATGTTGCAACCTTTTCATCTTCTCTTTCTTCAGTTTCATGTTCCACGTCAGGGGCAGTGAATTGTGAACCTGTGTGATTCGTCTGTAGGGACTTACTGGAAGGAATAGGACTGTGTGGATACTGCGAGATAATTATTGGGGAAGGTGGTATCACAATGGAGTGGCTAATGTGCCGCAAGCCTGCTTTGAAGTACTTGTTTGTGTAGCTAAACTTGGAGGTGAGCCTAGGAGAACAATCTTTACATCTAAATTATTGAGGTTAGTCTATGGGTGAGGCAAGGACTGATTTTTGGATGTTTAATCTAATTCCCAAGATGATACCAGCACCTATTTTGTACTCACTACTGACCCAAAAATAGGAGAATGTAGGGTCATACCTGGAATTTTGGCTTCTGTCCCCAAATTAAAGGGATTTGGATTTCTTCCCTTTCCTTGTCCTCTGCCAAGATTTTGCTATTCCACTCACAGTTATTTTGGTGAATTTCAGATAGATGATGACCAAGAGAAGGTAACGTAAAGATTTTTATACACACACACTCACTCACTCTTATATAGATACATATATATATTTGTGTGTGTATTATTTACTATTCGGAATTATTAAATGTAATTAAACTAGACAGCTATAATTGCATTCACTTCCTTAGGAAAAATTCACTCTGCCAATAATGCTATCCCTGCCAACTGCCTGCTACTAATTAAAACTTTGAAATACTAGATGACTAACGCAGCTTGTTATTTCCTAGGATCTCCTCCAGCAGCTCAAAAACATGACCCACCAAGCAGAGTTGTGAATCAGACTAGATCCCGTTCTCATGAACCTGAAACCTTCCATGCTCACCATAGGAAATGTCAAGTGGTGGATCCAAGCCACATCAATCTGGCCGAAAGTTCCTATGCCAAGATTGCAGAAATCCAACAGAGGCTCCGGAACCAAGACTCAAACAAGCACTTTGTGAGGTCTCCCAAGGCCCAGGGCAAAAACGTTGCCCCTGTGCATCCTGGAAGGGCAGTTAGAAATAAACCTTTTCAAGGGGCACCCATGCCAATGGCTTCCCCAAATGCACGAATGGGCCAGAATCTTCCTTACCTCCCCTTGCAATCTCAACAGGTTCACAAGAAGCATAAGCAGAGGGCAAAGGAAAATCACCAAATGTGCAAAACCTTCCAGTCTCCAGGGACAGTTGTGGAAAAGGAGCACGTGAGAGACCTGCCCACAGTCATTTTATATGAAGGCCAAGTTGGACAAATGATACAAAGACATGAACACCACCATCACCATGAGCACCACCACCACTACCATCACTTCTACCAGACATAGAAGAGATCCCACCAACATCCTGGAAGAATCGTCCCATATGAAGGAAATGCGTTCTTGTGATACCAGAACTAAGGCATTACCATGATTAATATTATTGTTACTCCATTAATATTCAGCTAGCATACATTTTAGAGGTTATATGGAACTCTTGAATCTTACCCTATTTATATGTTGTGGAACTGCATAGCTTACTTAAACACCTTGTGGATTTTTTTTTTTTTTTTTAAGTGGCTTGTAAAACAGCAAACAGCCATAGCTTTGTGAGCTGTGATTTAATACAGGTCGTCAACGCACTTCTTTACAAGTACTACTTCCATTGTAGTAGGAAAGATACTTCAAACACTATTGCAGACATCTAGCTTACCCGTCTGCTGTATGTCGGCTGATCGCACACAAGCCTTTTGTCAGGGGAGCAATGTTCAAAGGGTTGGACTCCAGAGATACTCAGAATAACAGAAAATACAAACAGCTGCTACCTCTAGTATTATTCAGATTTTATTTTCTTGTTATTGATTGTAATGTGCTATGGGGGAGGGGGGGATTTTAATATACTGCATTCATGTAGCCTGTTTGTGTTCACATCCTTTCAAATTATCTTAATAATTACAAGGAAATATTAGTTATACTTGTCAACAGAGCTACATTTGTATGACTTACACTTTACTTTCTTGGAGGTTCTTCACTGACACAAGTACAGTCTGTTATATACTGGGTAATATTTAAATATACTTCTTTTATTTTTGGTTTTTCTCTTGCTTACTCTCCATTCTGTTTGGGGTAACCATTTGAAAAGAGGAGGATGTGAAATGGGGTTTTCAAAAGCATCACTAGACTTTAGTGCTTGGGCCATAAGTATAATTCATGGGGGTTTGAGAAGGAGAGGGGTTGTTTAGGGGTGTTGTTTTGTTTAAATCCACAGTTCTTTGTTTTGAGAAAGAATTGAGGAAAATATACTTTCTCACTTTAAATGTTGGCAAATATATATAAAATAT